GAGTAACACAACAACAACTTATTGTGCTTATAAGCTACTCTTCAACAAATGGCTACAAAAATGTTACAATTAAGAACAAAATATGCAAGCATTAAAATAATTAAATTACATACCACAAAGTCAACTAATAACAAAATATTCAAAATAGCAGTACAGAGGAACAATACAGAAAGATGGAAAACATCCATTCATCCAAAAGCCCGGACAAAGAATGATCAGATGTTACAAAATGAATCACACGTCAATCTTGCCTTGTTGGTGCATACCGTACACTAGGAGACAGTATGAGCTGAATGAGATTCATACATTATTAGAATAAAAGAAGAATTGTATAAATGAAGGTCAAAACCAGAAGCTTAGTGGCACCACATTTTATAACACACTGCTTGATGATGACACAGAAATGAATCTTCTCCATAGTAGCTCTCACCCAGAAGAATAGGCTAAGGAGTAAAGACTAGACAAATCCAGAGTCGCTAAAACAGTTGGGTAGTGTCTTGTACACCTCCTTCTGGCAACTCCTGCAGCTAAGCTGGTGCCAAATGTATTGCACTGCTTTCCTCTGGACCACATCAGCAAGGTGGGTGGCCGCATCTTGTCATCTGGGCAGGACCAGGACCTCCAAACACACCAGGTTTATGCCCCAAAGAGGTCGTTCAGTGCTGCTAATGCAGCAAAAACAATGCAGGACACAGCATTTACAAGCTAGAGGTCTCTGCAGCCACAGCGGCGCTGTGATTCGCAAGCATTTTGAATCCCCCCCGGAGGCGCATTCCATTGTTTCTTGAGATGCCAACAGCAACATGCATTCTGGCATTTTGTACATGGCATCTGTTAATGAATCACAATACAAAATGATTGCATATGAAGGTTATTGTGAGAAAAAACATAAATATTTTGTACACAATGCACCTCAGCAGTTGTTTAGGTATGCGGGATCACATTCACCCAGTGCTATACCAACTGCACTGGCTCCCGGTGGAGTACAGGACCAGGTTTAAGGTGCTGGTTTTAACTTTTAAAGCCCTATATAGTGGTACCTCGGGTTACATACGCTTCAGGTTACATACCACTAACCCAGAAATATTACCTCAGGTTAAGGACTTTGTTTCAGGATGAGAACAGAAATCGTGCTCCGGCGGCACGGCGGCAGCAGGAGGCCCCATTAGCTAAAGTGGTGCTTCAGGTTAAGAACCGTTTCAGGTTAAGAACGGACCTCCAGAACTAATTAAGTACTTAACCCGAGGTACCACTGTACAGGGACGCGGGTGGCGCTGTGGGTAAAAGCCTCAGCGCCTAGGACTTGCCGATCGAAAGGTCGGCGGTTCGAATCCCCGCGGTGGGGTGCGCTCCCGTCGCTCGGTCCCAGCGCCTGCCAACCTAGCAGTTCGAAAGCACCCCGGGTGCAAGTAGATAAATAGGGACCGCTTACCAGCGGGAAGGTAAACGGCGTTCCGTGTGCTGCGCTGGCTTGCCAGATGCAGCTTGTCACGCTGGCCACGTGACCCGGAAGTGTCTGCGGACAGCGCTGGCTCCCGGCCTATAGAGTGAGATGGACGCACAACCCTAGAGTCTGGCAAGACTGGCCCGTACGGGCAGGGGTACCTTTACCTTTACCTTTACCACTGTACAGCCTAGGACCCTCGTATCTACGCGACCGCCTCTCCTGGTATGTCCCACGGAGGACCTTACGGTCTTCAAACTAAAACATCTTGGAGGTCCCGGGCCACAGGGAGGTTAGGCTGGCCTCAACCAGAGCCAGGGCTTTTCGGCTGTGGCCCCGATCTGGTGGAACATTCTGTCACAAGAGACTAGGGCCCTGCGGGACTTGACACCTTTCCGCAGGGCCTGCAAGAAAGAGCTGTTCCACCAGGCCTTTGGCCAAGGCACAGCCTGACCCCCTCCTTTGGTAATCCTCACAGAACTCTAGCCCAATGGTTGCCATTAATTTGATTTGAACTGATTTTAGAATGAATTGATTTTAGAATGCTGTATTATTTTACTGTTGTTAGCCGCTCTGAGCCCGGCTTCGGCTGGGGAGGGCGGGATATAAATAAAAAAATATTATTATTATTATTATTAATAATTATTATACTTCAGAGTTTAGCTCATTCATCCAGCAAAAGAGATCCATGTATATAAAGCAGGCGTCTTGTTAGAGAGGGGACCATAGGTGGAAATCTACTGTTATAAATACAATGGGTTTTAGAGGTGCACTTCAAACTTGCATTCTGTCAGAACTAATTAGGCATGAGTACTTTTTAAGACATGACTAGAGCTTGTTCAGGTCATATATTTTAACACATATTTCTGAGAAGCAGACTAAAATATTATACAAAAAAACTCAGCTCTAAGAAGATATACACCATCAAAAAAGACACTTAGAGGGTTTATTTTAAGAACAATTCGCAACTGAACAAAAGGTTATAAAATTTTCTATAAAATGTCTAATCCTTTATTTATTTAAGTAGCTATTACATGTACTCAAGATTTCAAGAACTCATCAAGAGTTACCTTGCTTCCAATACAAAGATTTTTGAATTCTCATTCAGTAGGATGAGAGATTTGCAAGACAACCACAATGACCTTCACCTTATTTAAATAAAAACATTTTGGAAAGAATTTAATGAGGATCTATAGAAATAGCCCTGGAGGTATACTCTGAATGAAAATATAACAGCATCTATATTTGGCCTTCTAATTTGTAAGGAACTATGAAGGAGCAATTGCTTTCACAATTTTACATTAACCAGACGATCTGCTCATACAATCTGCTCATTCAGAATCAGTGAAAACTGTTACTTAAATAATATGAGGGTAGCTTTTGTCCATAATATTTCATTCAATTTAATTTTGTATTTGACTACAACTATGATAGCCAACCCTTCATGGATCACTGCCTTGTCGAGGCGAAGGGGCTTGAATAACTCGAAGGAACTATGAGCTATGCCGTGCAGGGCCATCCAAGATGGACAGGTCATAGCCGAGAGTTTAGACTAAATGTGATCCCCCTGGAGAAGGAACTGGAAATCCACTCCAGTATTTTGCCAAGAAAACTCCATGGACAAAAAAAAGGGAGAAGCTTTGAGAAGAAAGGGAGAATTTCCAAGGCATGCTCTGTTCATAGGGTCATAGAGAGTTGAACACGACTAAGACGACTAGAGGGATGCAGGTGGCGCTGTGGGTTAAACCACAGAGCCTAGGAATTGCCGATCAGAAGGTCGGTGGTTCGAATCCCTGTGACGGGGTGAGCTCCCGTTGCTTGGTCCCTGCTCCTGCCAACCTAGCAGTTAGAAAACCCGTCAAAGTGCAAGTAGATAAATAGGAACTGCTCCGGCGGGAAGGTAAATGGTGTTTCCGTGCGCTGCTCTGGTTCGCCAGAAGCGGCTTAGTCATGCTGGCCTCATGACCCGGAAGCTGTACGCTGGCTCCCTCGGCCAATGAAGCGAGATGAGCGCCACAACCCCAGAGTCGGTCACGACTGGACCTAATGGTCAGGGGTCCCTTTACCTTTACCTTAAGACGACTAAACAACAACAACGATAGCCGAAAAAGAGGGAAATACATTTGGTGACAAGGCACTCTTGCTCCAATTAAATCTGGGGGTAGATATGTTGAACAAAAATAAATATTGGCAATGTAAAATAAATGTGTAAGTTACAATGAAGCATATTTATAGCAGTGGGTTTAAAGTTTGTCTCACATAGAATATTAGGTGTTTTAGGATTGGAGGAAGGGAGAGGTAAAAATCTAATCTGACCTAAAGTTAAGGCTATCTCATTTAACAAAGATGCTCCTTCACATCATTTTTGAAGTTAAGAAATGATGGTAAATGATGTAGTTTTCTGTGCAACCCTAAGCAAGCAACACATGGGTTGTATACAGTGGTACCTTGGGTTACAGACGCTTCAGGTTGCAGACTCCGCTAACCCAGAAACTTAGATACTTTGGAAAGTTGTTTGTTTGCTATGCATTTGGACACCTCTTAAAATGGCATAACCAAATTCTGCATGATAGTTCCTGAGATCAAGTAGCAGGTTTTTAGTCTATGCTCGGATACAACTGGACACCATTTTTAATAAATATGGGAGGCTGAAGCTGCACGGATATCTTTGGTTTCTTAGAATTCCTGAGCAGCGACAGATACAAGCTTACTAGTCATATATCAAGCTTCAGCCAAGACTACTTTGTTTGCATTTGTTATTATTCATATCCCCTCTCAATAATTCCTGTAACAAACTATGAGATCTAATTCCTACTTGTAGCAGTCCCAAATTAATTCCTTTTCATGCATGGCATTTTAGCTCTTGCAATTGCCTCAGCTCACAGGTATTCATGCTGCTGGTGACACCAGAATACCACTCGCCACAATAACTCTTTATAATAAGGTTTATAATCAGAACTAATAAACAACCATTGTTCTTTCTCAGCAGAATATTTTTCTCTGCTTCCGCTATTTTAATGAGGCCCACCCTAAATATAGAAGCTGTCAGCAAGATTCTTTTTTGACATGATGCGAAGGAATGGGAATAACAGCCATTTTTGCTGGGTTTTTGGTTGTAGAACATGGCTAGTAAAATGGTTGCTTTTTGATGGCTTAGTGCACAGCAGGGTCAAAGGTTAATCCTAGGAACCTGGCAATTAAGGGGAAACAGAAATTTAACTAGGTCTTTCCTCTTCTTCTGATTGACTAGACGATTGAGAGCGGGACTGAAAATACTGAATATGAGTTAGAAAATAGGGTATTTAGTACTTTAAAAATACGGAAAAGTCAAGGAAATTGTGGAGAGAGAAAACTGAAAAAGTGGAGAGCTGAATCAGAATTAAAGGGCTAAAACACTTTTACGGGAGCTGCAGTACTGGAAATTGTTAAGAGTATAGATGAGCACTGAAGTAGAAGCCAAAATATCAAAAGGAACTCAGATGCTTTCTTAGGCAAACAGTCTAGAATACGGGTAGGTCTGACGCAGTCAAAATTAAAATAATAATAATAAAAAATTGTACAATAGCACCTTATAAACCAACTAAGTTTGTTCTGGTATAAGCTTTCATGTGCACCAGAATAAACTTAGTTGGTCTATAAGGTGCTACTGGACATTTTTTTAAATTTTTAATTTTTTTTTTTTTATAATTGATATTTATTAAGTTTTCAAAGAATAACAACAAAAATTTCCAAAAAAATTTGAGAATACAAAAAACAAAAATAGTACATAAACAAAAAAGAAAAGAAAACCCAGCCGCAAAGAAAAAAGAGAAACAGAAAAACAAAAATATAAAGTCCTTTACAATCTCTATTGACTTCCTTTCTAGACTTCCTCCTCCTCCCTCTTTTGTTTCTTAATTTTTAATTTTTACAGCAAATCCTTTCTGTTTTTTCATAACAATCTGTCATTACGTTTCCTTATTCTATTTTCCCTCTTGTCATATAAAAACTTTAAGACTCATAGCTTATATTCAATATTTACCAAATTCTTGCATCATTACCTTTTACGAATCATTTACCAATCCTTACTTAAGCCATGTAATTTCATTCAACATCCTTCAAACATTTGTAAGCATTCCCAATATTAAAAATAAAAAGGAAAAAATAATAAGTCAAATTCAGTCCAATCAGCTTCCAACCTCCCCTCCCCTGGACCCGGGATTGTCAGTCCTTTCAACCTCGATAATCCGGCTCCTTAACCTGGTTGTCTCGTATCCGAGGCCCTCAAGTCTCTTTCTTGCCCCTTTCGCCACTCTTGTTGATGATTCCTTTCCAGTCGTGGATGCTCCAGCAAGAAAATGCTTTTGACCCTTTGCAGCAAGTCCATCCCAAACCCATTGCCCAAGCCAGACAGCAAATAATACCACTTCAAATTTCCACAAAGCTTGGAGACTTCGGCTACTCCAATCCTCTGATAGCCCATCACTAGACTCGGAAGGTCCAAATAACCATATGGAGGGGGGTCGATCCATCCCCCATTTCCAAATCTGACCACATTTCATCTTTCCGAATCTGGTTTGTCCCAAGTTCATTTATCAAGTTCAAAGGCTGATCTTGCCCGTCCAAAGGTCCCTCCATCTCTGAAGCCTCCGTCACTACAGCAGGTTCATATGCTTGTATAACCTTTAACTGAATTTCATTTGTTTGCTGCTGTGCTCTGGTAACTTCCATCATCAAGGTCGTCTCCTGACGCATCTGGTCCAGCTGGGCACTTAGTTTTGAAAAACCTTCCAGGAACAATTGTTCAAGCCTTTGTACTAGCATTGTCCTTCAAGGTCGAAGAAAATTCTTTCCCACGACAATAGTCCAATAGTCCTTCTCTTTTAATCTCTCTGCGTTGCAATTTCACTAAATTCCACTAGATGGAAATTTTTTTTTTTTTAAAGGAATAAAAGCAACAGCAACAATCTTTCTTTTTCCAGAAACACTTTATCCAAAATTCCCCTTCCAAATTCAAGAGGCAACAGTAGAATCAAAATGTTACCCTTCTTTTAACTAACTGTCGAGCTGGATAAACTTCAGAACGTCAATTCTGACAGCCCGCTCCTGGTTCAGGGCGGTGGAAAATTGCTTTATTTTAAACTCACTTCCGCAGGATTGAAAAGTCCAAATACAACCCCTTCTTCTCCTGCAGTCAAAGGGGGTTCAGAAATCTTAGATGTTGAATTCTAGTTCTCTTAGAATTTAATTTTCAAGCTTTAGTATATTTTGTCTTTGCTTTCTTCACATAACAAAAGAACGGAAGGCGACTTCCTGTTTAGACCTTCCCATTCCGAGTCCCAATTAAGTTCAATTTCAAGTCCAATATTATTTGTTTATTCACCAGTCTTAAAAGTGGTTCAACTCTTCCAAGATCAGGTACTCACGGATAGATATTTTAGATGCCAAATTGTCCAGGAAAAAGGCAGCGCTCTCCGATAACGGCAGTGCGGCTTTGCTGCACGGAGGAAGCAGTCGACTCACAGCACCACGCACCTCCCACTCCGGAGCCCGGTACCGGGCTCCTGTACAAGGGGAGAGAGCGCTCTCGGTGCCCGCCGAGTCCCACGTCCACAGGCTTCTTCCGCCTGTGGTTTTTGAGGGTCCCCGCTGCGCCGTAGCGGCAGGACCCAAGCCTCCGTGCAGCGGGTTCCCTTCAGTCCGAAGGGAATTCCGCCATTTTCCGGAGGCGCCACCCCGGAAGTACTAAATTTTTAAATTTTTATTTAGTCTAGAATACGTCTATCTGGAAGCTTTTATCCCTATTTTATTTTCTTAATTTGCTCTAATACCTAACCATTCAACCTGTAAAATTATATTTTTCCCCTTAAAATAAATTTCTCAAAAACTGGTTAGCTTGTTGCCTTACTCATATCAAAAGCATAGTTTGGCTTGAGATGACTCCTAAGTGCCATACTATTCTATCCAGTATGGGAAGTAGGTTGGGCCAGTTACAGTGGAGGCTTTCAGGTGAGGCTGATTACAAGAAAGCAGGAGTAGAACAGAGTACCCAGCTTCACACATGCCCTTAGTTTTGTTTGTTTCTCATGGCATACTGCCTCTTCTCTCACAGAATGCTAGCATACACTGACATATTGCAGATATTAATATTGGGCAGTTAGTAGTGATTGGGTGCATAAAAAGTAACTCATTTTGGAATGAAGCATCGTCCAGACCCATTAGATATTATTCAAAACTTTACTTGCAGTGCTTTCTTCATAACAGAACAAAAACGTCAAATATATATCCAAATAATTCCATGCAATATCCTGCGCTGTCCAGCATAGGCTGAGCATCTTAGAAATAAAATAACTTATCGTGATCCATTACATGTGAGCAACTGCAGGTTTGTCACCTTTGGACTTTGTTTCTCTTCTCCAGAGTAAGCTATAATTATATTTTAATTATTTCTTTCTTAAAATATCACTGAAACTCATGTATTAGCTGTTGTTGTTGTTCAGTCATTTAGTCGTGTCCGACTCTTCGTGACCCATATGGACCAGAGAACACCAGACACTCCTGTCTTCCACTGCCTCCCACAATTTGGTCAAACTCATGCTGGTAGCTTCGAGAACACTGCCCAACCATCTCGTCCTCTGTCGTCCCCTGCTCCTTGTGCCCTCATTCTTTCCCAACATCAGGGTTTTTTCCAGGGAGTCTTCTCCTCTCATGAGGTGGTCAAAGTATTGGAGCCTCAGCTTCAGGATCTGTCCTTCCAGTGAGCACTCAGGGCTGATTTCCTTCAGAATGGATAGGTTTGATCTTCTTGCAGTCCATGGGACTCTCAAGAGTCTCCTCCAGCACCATAATTCAAAAGCATCAATTCTTTGGCAATCAGCCTTCTTTATTGTCCAGTATTAGTTCTACACAATGATTAATAAAATCCCTTATTATAGGTCTAAGCAGCCTACTTACCCGGGTAGACTAACATGGTGTCCTGAGGACAAAATATGGGGTGCATCCACCCCCCAAAAATTATTATTTCCACTATAATGCCTTTTGCCTTTTTATGGATCTTCTCAATGCAATTATTTTGTAGTCCCCTGGCTCAACACCCTGTATAAGGGAACCACCCTCACTGGGCTAAATCCAGCGCTGCACTTACTTATAAATATCAGAAACACTGAACGACAAAGGTTGCTGTCTGCTATTAAATGATGACCTAAAGACTAAAGAGCCTCTTTACTGAAGTCAATATTTGACCTAGATATCTTTGTTGCTTTTATCAATTGTGTTCAAATCAGTACTTTTCCACAAAAAAGGATAAGGCATTTGCCACTTCAAAGAATTTCAAAGTGCCAGAAAGCTTTTCCCTCCCCAACAATTCATCTCTCCCTATGAACTGCTCATTTCCACACTATTTCCACTTTTTTCTCTCCCCATGGTGGCTTCTCTCCTGGTCAAGTTCTGCTTTTTTCGAGAAGTTCAAGTTACCAGAGCAATCAATCTTTCACTCACCATCTGCTGCCATATCTAGACTCCTTAAAATTCTCTAGAAGGGGGAAATGAAGACTTCTGTAGTCTGTTTCAGTTTGTACCATCTTTAGAATCATGATTTTTGATGTAAAAAAAATGTTAAAATATATACAATATATTTTATGTTTTGTTTAGCATCCTCATTGTCTATCGTAGTCTTGCTAGTACAGCTTCGACTGCCTATTTTTCACTACCCTCCAACACAGTTTGAAATATGACTGCAAAGGTTTTTTTCTGGCTAGGTACTTTAACCAGTGTCTGTGTGTGTGTGTGTTGCAGATGAGATAATACTGGTTGTGGCGTCTGCCCTCCTAGGTGTGTGACATCATACTGGGTTCATAAGGAAAGGGTTAACTAATTGTAAAATGACTAACCAATAGGAACCCAATGGGAGGAGTTAGAGTTAGAGTTAGAGTTGTTAAGAAGTCAGTCTGGAGTTAGAGAAGGGACGGAGAGAGGATAAGTCTGTGAGTTGGGCTAGTCTGATGTGAGAGAGTGAGAGAATCTGTTAAGAGGAGTCAGTCAAACAGTTGATATAATCAGTCAGAAGGTATTAGGAAGGTATAGGCCAGTAAAGAAACTAAAGTTAAGAAACTGACAGGAATATTATCTGAGAAACCATAAACTTGTTAATGCTTATAAAATAAACTTGTTTATTTGGTTCAGTTTTAACAACTGTCTGGACTCAGTGTTTTACCCGAGAGTAACGGGTTGGTGGCAGCGAGGAAGCAAGCACAGTGATGGCACAGGGATCAATAGACCGTTAAACGTCCGGGGACCCTGTGTGATCGCCACACTGGTGTTATTAATAGTTGTGCAAAGATAGAAGATGAGGAAAGTAAGAGGTGGAAGGTAGAACAAAACTAGCAGTAAAAGTTGGGCACAGACTTGGGGAGATCTGGCAATATTACTTCTGGGGGAATTAACTGCAAACCCCAAGTTAATGTGGACGGCAGAGCAAAGTATGACAAAACCAAAGCAGAGCCTAGAAGACAACCTTCCAATTGCAAAAATGTTCAAGAATTCAAGTCTCTGCCATAGTTTGAAAATAGGTTTCATCAAAGACATTTTGTTCTGCTCGTCTTAATATGCCACAATTTGCTGAGTGGGACCCAAGACAAACCTAGTGAGTGAGATAGGCCTAAGCGACAAAAAAAA